CCACAAGGAAATAGATATATTTCATATATAAAGTCTTCATTCAACAAAAGGCGTTCGTTCACGCTTCAGAATTCAGATGCCAGGAAACTTCACCGCCTTCTTTCCTTGCCTTTCACGTACGTCACGTTGGGCAAATGGACCAAGGGGAATTTCTTGCAGTCTAAAACTTCGGCAAATTGCAAGCATGTGGTTTTTGTTCTTCTTGTCCATCTTTGGTGTAATACCATGTTTAATAGTCAACTTGTTGGGCTTCTTATCTTCATATCTCAGATCCCTTGACTGTAAAACTAAAACCTAATTTATTTTTTTTTTTGTCAAACAACTAAAACCTAATTCAGGAATTAAAATATTCGACTTCTTAATTTATACGTAAGAGTCATTCCTCTTTACAGATAAATTACAATTTGATATGTGCACGTAGACTTTTCTCTTTGTGGTTTTAATGAGTTCTTTTTATATAAAATATCATTTCTCTTTATAGACAAATTACAGCTTAACATATGAGCATAAACTTTTTTTTTTTTTTTTTATGGTTTTAATGTGTTCTTTTTATAAAATAGTAATAGGAACTACTTAGATACTATTAACTTACGTGTCAGGCTGCAACCACCCCTGCCCCAAAAGACTTGGTGGGTTTTCTACACTTTCTCATTGACCATCGTTTTCCAAGTCCCCCGCTTGAATTCCAAACCATTTGCGACCCGGCAGTCAGTCTGAAAAATCCACAATTTCTAACATGTCTATTGGGTTTCGTATCTCCTAAAAAGGAAATGATCACATCCTCTGAGCTCTAACTAACTTGCCATCAACACAACCGCGGGAACAACCGAACTTCTGAAATCCCTCTCCCTCCAAATGACTAAACAAAACACCCCAACGTCTTCTCTCCAAACCCACCTCCACTTCCTCCTCCTCCTCCTCCTCCTCCTCCTCCCCCCCCATGCCAACTCCCAATCCCTCCAAGACCAAGAACAAGCAGTCCTCGTGAAACTCAAGTCCTACTTAAACTCTCCGCCATTTCTCAGCCATTGGATCCTATCAAAATCAAACACTTCTTCCCACTGCTCCTGGCCTGAAATTTCCTGCACCAACAACTCCGTCACCAAATTGTTTCTTGACAACAAGAACATAACCCTACCGGTGCCATCCTTCATCTGTGATCTCAAAAACCTCACAGTCATTGATCTCAGCTACAACTACCTCCCAGGAGCATTCCCAAAAGCTGTCTACAAGTGTTCCAAGCTAGAGTACTTGGACCTGTCTCAGAACTACTTTGTAGGCCCCATTCCTGATGACATCGACAGCCTGCCCCGGCTTCAACAACTTATCCTCGCCGCAAACAACTTCTCCGGTGATATTCCTCCCGCCATAGGGCGGTTGCAAGAGCTCGAGAATCTTCAGCTGTACATGAACCACTTCAATGGCTCTGTCCCACCAGAAATAGGTAACTTGTCAAATCTCAAAGACCTGAGCATGTCTTTCAATATAAAACTTGTGCCTTGGAACTTGCCTTCCAATTTTACCAAGTTGAAAAAGCTCAAGACTTTATGGATACGGCAATCGAATTTGATCGGAGAGCTTCATGGGACACTTGGGGAGATGGAGGCACTTGAACAACTGGATTTGGCAATCAACAATTTGAGTGGGGAGATTCCGAGCGGTTTGTTTTCGTTGAAGAATTTAAGTACAATCTATCTCTTCATGAACAGGCTTTCTGGGGAGGTTCCTCGAGTGATCGAATCATTGAATTTGAGCATTCTTGATCTCTCTAACAACAATTTAACAGGGACAATACCAGAAGAGTATGGAAATCTTACCAAATTAACAGAATTGGCTTTGTTTTTCAATGGTTTTTCGGGTGAAGTTCCGAAGAGCATTGCCCGCCTGCCAAACCTCGTACATTTCAAAATCTTCAACAATAATTTGTCAGGAATATTGCCTCCAGAGTTTGGGAGGCACTCAAAACTCGAAGCTTTTGAAGTTTGTGTCAATAGGCTAACCGGAAAACTGCCAGACAATTTGTGCTATTGGGGTAAGCTGGAAACACTTATAGCTTATGATAATCATCTTAGTGGAGAATTGCCAAGTTCTCTTGGAAATTGCAGCAGTTTGAAGACTGTCAAGGTTCATGATAATTTACTGTCTGGAAACATTCCTAGTGGCATGTGGACGGCACCAAACTTGACTTCTATGCTGATAAGCAACAACTCGCTTACTGGCGAGCTTCCTGAGAAGCTTTCATCAAATCTTTCGCGGTTGGAAATGAGAGACAACAGATTTTCGGGCAACATTCCAATCGGGGTGTCTTCCTGGAGGAGTTTGATGGTTTTTGACGGCGGTAATAACCGCTTTAGTGGTGCTATTCCTCAGGAATTAACCGCGCTTTCTAGCTTATTGACACTTTCTCTTGATCAGAATCAGCTCACCGGCTTCCTTCCATCGGATATTGTATCGTGGGAGTCACTCACTAGTCTTAATTTCAGTCAAAATCAGCTCACCGGAACAATTCCTGAGAAACTTGGTCTTCTGCCGGGACTTACTGAATTAGACCTTTCAGCAAACCAACTTTCTGGCGAAATTCCAGTTCAACTCGGGCATCTGAAGCTCAACCAATTCAATCTCTCTTCCAATCACCTCTACGGGAAGATCCCTACTGAGTTTGAAAATGCTGCGTATGAAGGAAGCTTCTTGGACAATCGAGGCCTCTGCACAACTAGCTCTTCAGCAAAGCTCCCCATGTGCAATTCTGAATCCCAAAAGTCCAGCAAACTTTTGTCGAAATCTCTTGTGCTAATCTTATCTTTTGGCATACTGTTGTGCTTGTTGGCTATTTCCATCTCGTTCTTCATGGTCAGAAGTTACTGGAAGAGAAACGGTGGATTGGATTCTAAGTGGAAGCTCAACTCATTTCAGAGGTTGAATTTCACAGCGTCAAAAATTCTATCGGAGCTCACAGAAAGTAATCTGATTGGAAGTGGCGGGTCAGGAAAAGTTTATCGCGTTCCTGTGAATCGCAATGGTGATGTTGTTGCTGTGAAAAAGATTTGGAAGAATGAGAATTTAGAAAAGAAGCTTGAGAAAGAGTTTCTTGCAGAAGTCAATATCTTGAGCTCAATTCGACATGCCAACATAGTGAAGTTGATGTGCTGCATTTCCAGTGAGTCTTCAAAACTTCTCGTCTACGAGTACTCAGAAAATCGGAGCCTGGATCTATGGCTGCACAGGAGAAATAGGCCATCCAATCTCTCGAGGTCAGTCCATCATGTCGCACTCGACTGGCCTGAGAGGTTGCAGATTGCAGTGGGCGCTGCTCAGGGCCTCAGCTATATGCACCACGACTGTGTGCCGCCCGTGGTGCATCGCGACGTGAAATCAAGCAACATTTTGTTGGACTCTGATTTCAAAGCAAAAATAGCAGACTTTGGTCTGGCCAAGATGTTGGTCAAGCAAGGAGAACTTGCTATAATGTCATCTGTCGCTGGCTCTTTTGGCTACATTGCTCCAGGTAAACCTTATACCCCACAAATGCTAAAGTTAGGGCATGTCTGAGACCGCTTTTAGAAATCACTTCTAATATAAGTGCTTTTGCAAGAAGTGGTTTTCTCTTCTGCTCATAAAATTCTACTAAAACCCTAGTGCTTTGAAGAAGCACGTGACCAAAAAATGCTTCCCAGAAGAACTTCTAAGTTTTCTGCCGAACGCAGTTAGAAGTTCTTTGGGTTGTCAAAAAAGGAGCATGCCCTTAGTGCCTAAAGAAGTATGTGTTATTTTTCTTCATTTCTATTAGCAGTAAACTGGTTTTCCTTACCCTAAATGCAGAATATGCTCACACAATGCGATTGAATGAAAAGATCGACGTGTATAGCTTCGGGGTCATCCTTCTGGAGTTGACAACCGGCAGGGAAGCCAATGACGGCGATGAAGACACTGCCCTCGCTGAATGGGCGCGGTGTCACGTTCAAGAAAACAAAGCTATCGCTGATGCTTTGGACAAGGACATCAAAGAACCTTGTCACTTGGACGAAATGTGCTCCGTTTTCAAACTCGGCCTCATTTGCACTGAGAGACTTCCAGATGATAGGCCTTCCATGAAGGAGGTTCTGCAAATCTTGCTCCTATGCAGCCGTCCAGTACTCAGCAGAGAAAAGACCGAGCATGTTGCCTCTCCTCTGCTCCAAAACTCGAAGCACGAGAGGACCTTGGAAGACGATGATGGTAGTTTGGCGACCAATGTCTGATGCCTCGTCGAATTCACGAAGAGGAACCAATAAAGGGGAAATAAAACTTTCATTTCGCGTCGGTCTTAAGCTGATCGAATGTATACTATAAGAGGAATTAGATAGACATACTGATCAGATGTATACTAGAGTGCAGCACTGCATCGTTAAGGATGCCGAGCTGCACTCTAGGCGGCGAAACTACCCTGTATATTTGCATATGCATAACATCAAGAAGGGCATAATAACGAGTGGTGAAAATTCTCGAAAATCAGTAAGAACAATCATATGAAGTCAAAATTTCATTAATGGTGACCAATCTACTTGACAATTTATCAGTAGAATGATCTCAAATCTTAAATAGTAGAAAGTTTCGAACTGAAAAACGAAACCGTAAAACACGTTTTATTTGCAATAGAGAACGAGAGAATGTTGCGCAAAACGTAACTACTCACAGTTTACATCCCCTATTTTTAAGTAATCCAGGAGAAATGAGCTTATACACTGATTAACAACACAACGCGCCTAAACTTCCACAGCGCGAAACAACGGGCTGCAGCGAGAACGCTTAGCCGATTGTCTACTCCAACTGCCTATTATGATCCTAAGCTAATTACCAGCTCTAAAGGATCATAAATTATGGATGGGATGCAAGATCTCTCGAACTATAAGCTGAGAACAGCTTGAAATTGATCCGAAGGAAATAGTGAGAAGATAGGGTAAACGAAAATATACAAAAATTGAGAATGTCACACTTCATTCATCTACCTGGTCTTGACCATTTTAGGACTCCTCTACCTCAAGGTACTGGGAGTGAGAGGCTGCCAGGAGGGCAGCTCCAATTCCAGAGCCATCGTTTGAGTGCTCGACAGAAATGTGCTCAGCAACTTCGTCACCCAACAACTCTTTGAGAGTACATTCCATGCTGGTGCGGAATTCGGTGTAGTGCTCATACAAACCACCATCCATTGCAATCATCGATTTTTGCTTCTCTCCGTCCTTAACTGTGTCTCTACCTAACTTCTTAAGCACTCCCAACATCCCAGCAGCAGATAAGCGGGCCGCACGAGTGGCAACTATGTCGCAGACCGCCACAGCAACCTTTCTCATTTTCAAAGAGGTGTTGGAGATCTACAATATTGAAAAATCAGCCATAAACTCATGTCACCTGTCTAGAGATTGGCTTGAAATTTTATAGAGAAAAATATGAACGTTCTTTTTTAAGAGTGCATGTTTAAGGACGCCACAAAGAAACAGATGATGGCACCACGTTCACTCTATGAAAATGTGATTCAATGAAAGGTATCATGCTTTCAACCATTCCTTGTTTTTACTTTTCTAACCACCCACCCAAAAGAATTATGAGGAGGAAAAGAAAAAATTAAAGTAATTTGCACTGCCGGATAACAAAATGATCATGTTATCATATAGCATGAGCAATGTACCTCGAGGATGTCCTTGAGTTTGCTCCCGACCACTTTCAGATCTGGAGATGAGTCATGATGTATGGCAGACATTTCAGGAGTCCTGCAATTATTACAACCACACCATAAAGACTCAGAAAACTCTACACTATTCCAAAATTAATGCCAACCCAAGCAAAAACAATGTGGTAGGAACTATATAGAGGTGAAACAATTTATTTAGCATTATCAACCTTTTGATAGACTGTTTCATACACAGATTTCGTTTTGAATAAAAAAAAACCGACCATTCGCATGTAATCCACAATGGCAGTAGCAATAAGTTTTAATCTAGGCACCATTGAGAAGCAAACCCTCTTAAAATTCGGCAACACACAAACACATCCAATAGATATACCTCGAGCTAACAAGGTTTAAACCAGTCAGTCTACAAAAGATGTTAGAATATACCTTAGTATGAATGGAATTTTCAGTTTTGGTGGGACAACATCACCAAAAAAGTCAGCTTCTTCAGCCATCTTGAGCAATACTCTGCGCACAATTTCCCCTAAATACATGCCAGAAATGATCTTCTCGAAGATCTGCAAACAAAAATTAAATCCATATGATATATCCATCAAGCCATCTACATATGCAAAAACAAGTAAAGGAAAATGTTGTTACTTGCTCTCCAGGGTTTAAACTCTCAGCATCAAGTGCTTGATCGTATTCTGTCAGCGGAAGGTGTGATGAGCGAAAGTTACCCCACTCCATGTTGATAACCTATTCAAGAAAACAAACAAAGAATTAGTATGTTCTAACTATAGAACCAAACCTTAGAACCAGGCAACAAACCATAGTTCCACAATTTGATAGGAATTTTTCATAACATACTAACCATTTCTCCTGATTTAGGTAGAAGACCATGCCATTTTGGAATGGCATGCGCTCTTTCAACATAAGCAGCATTTGTTCCAGTGCCCAATATCACAGCAGCAATGACATCCTGATTGTGGTACCTACCTCCTGCTAATGTACCAATTGTATCATTTACCTGCATCAGCCTGACAAATTAGGATTGTCCAAAATGATAAGCAATAATAAATAACCAAGGTTTAATTCAGCTCCTTGCAGCGTAACATGAAAATCCAAATTGCTGATATTAAAAACCAAACTGGACTGACCAAAGCTGTAACACGCATATCAAGTCCAATTTTTTCCATTGATTTGGTCAGCTCTCCTACCACATCTTGCTCAACCTGCACAAATATCAGTAAAAAAAATGTCACAAGGGGCACCCTACGATAAAGATTACTCCAGCGCTGCTAAATTAAGTTATTATTGGAACACATTGATTGGGTAACCTGTAGGCAGAAAATAAAGTAATCTGTAGAACATATGTCAAGAAAAGATAACATAACGAAAGCTCCAATGCCCATTGTATCAGGCACAGTATCCTCCAGACATGATTTACATGACTAACTATCAAAATAAAAATCAATATAGCAAGAGATGTAAAGGTACCGCATCCTCAATATTGAAGCCTTTTGTCCACTTAATAAGGGTCCCTGAGGCAATTGAAGTTTGCCACACAGGAAATGAAAAGGTAAAACCCAGCTCCCTTTGTCTACTGGGTGCAGGATGCAAACCTTCTCCTTCCGTAGCAACAAATTTTGCAAGTGCTTCGGCAATAAAATCAAATAATCCCTGAAACCAAGTCATGATAAATTATGGCCATGTTTGAACAAATCTAAGCAGGTTTTGTAAGATTGCTTGAAGAAATACTAACTTCTGAAGTTCCAGTCATCAAATGCGGTGGAATGGAAACTTCGTCAAATTCTTGTTTAACAACACGTTTTTCGTTCCCACCAAGCCGTACACGCAGAACACGGAAGTTTGTCCCACCAAGGTCCAGTGCATAAAACAGCCCATTCTCATCCCTGAAATGATAAGAATGAAAGTAATGGGAGTTTACCATGAATCCAAAAGGTAAATAAGGAGAGGGGGGGGGAAGGCACCAAATACAGCTCAGCTCAGTTTATGAACCCAAATCAGGAACATAATCTACCCATTTATAACACTCTTTCTAAGCTTGTCGACTTTAAATTGCCCTTCTTTTTCCATTTGCAATATAGTATCTCAATTTCTTTTCAATAAGATGACACTCTAAAAAGATTAGAAGGACATTAATCCGTTGAGTATAGAACATTATAATCCACTAAAATAGGGCAGCCCACACCACATACCGTGAAGAACATACCAAAGACGGAAACTAATAAGAGAGCCATAAAAGCTCCATCTGAAGGACACACGGGATAAGGACAACCGCCAATTTTAGGCTTTTAGCAAATCAAACTTTAATCTCTACAGTTAGATCAAATATTATTTCGAAGCGAAAAATCAATGGGAGCTGCATGGAAAAGCAAAATTCCTACAATCAACTAAAGATAGAAAATTTCTTGCCACAAGAAATCAAAAGAGCACAACATCAACAAATAAGAAATAACCATCGCAAGGAAAGATTATACCCAATTCAGAAACACACACCAACTAATAACTTCCACCAAATAACCAAACTAACTCAACATCAACATAACCAACTCGTATTTATTTTATTAATCAAACCCAATAAATGAGTTCCCATCTCATAAACCACAGAGATAAAAATTCCATCTTTATCCCTTTTAATCAGAAAATTAACAGAAAAAAGGACAAATAAACCAGTCAGAACAAAGGACTAATTGCCACAGAACAAAATTATTGAACCCAAACATTTTTTTTCAATCCAATCGAAGTTCAAATTACGAGTCTTTCCAATCCCAATCGAAAAATAAGAAATTAAGGGCGGGTGAGATAGACTAAAATACCCAGTGGGGAGGTTATCGACGTAGCTGATGAGCATCTTCAGCTTGCTGCCGCCCTCGGATGCGAGGCCAGCGTGCATTTCCACAGTCATGGCGTCAGCCACCTGTCTCAGCTTCCCAATGGGGGTCCCGCACTTATCCTCCAACTCCCTCAGAATCGCCATCGCCCGGGCCCACCTTCCCGAGCTCTTCATGCGGTGCCGCACGATCAGCGCCGCCGCAGCACATACCGCCGCCGCGCACACCACAGCCGCCCCCACCGCCACTTTCCCCATCACCACCGCCGCTCAAATTACCAAATCTTTGATGGGTTTTTCAATCCGAAGTCTCCCGAATCCGATTTTGAGGTCAGGAATCGATGGGCCGAATGAAATTCTCGTGCTTGCATGAGTGAGAAAGTTTGGGTAGTGAGAGAGATAGAGAGTAAGAAGTGAAAAATTAAAAGTACAATTTTAGATCGGACTTTCGGGGAGGGATACGAAGGGAAATTTGTCAAATCAAGGAATTCCAATCTGCAGCCTAATTTCTCGGAAAACAAAGCTGTATGAGAAAGAGTGTGCGTGCATGCTTTTATGATTTTCTTGGCCCTGTTTGTTTTCTCGGAAAATTAGCCTTTTCTGTAATATTTTTCTCACACTTTCTCGGAAAATAAGAAGATATTTTCGGCGTAAAAAATGAATTTCGGTCTTTTTTGGAGTGAAATGGAGGGAAAGTGGGCATAGTTTTGCGTTAAAATTACGAGATTGACCTGTCAGCGTCGAGTGCGAAGGTGATGTGTTGTATGGACGAACATGATTCCTTGATGTGATTTGGGATTTTGGAGTTCTCAGTTTAGGGAAGGCTAAGTGTGAGGTTCTCCCTGATTCCGATGCCTAAAGTTGGGATTTTATTACCTTCCAACCAAAATCTAATATGCTTCAAGCATATATGTACATGTTGTTCCTCCAAACAAAATTAGTATGCTAGCTTCGAGGTTTGTAGCTCAGTTGTATCGTTTAAATTTTAGAGTTAATATGGCTTTCTCGTCTAGAATAATTTTTTATGTCTTTGATTCTAATAATGTTATAATCACTTATAGATTGAAGTACATGTGTGTTTAACAAATAATTTTCTCTCAAGTGATTTTGAGAATACATAATCACTTACAGGTGGAAGTACATGTGTGTTTGACAAGTTGTTTTCTTTCAATGAGTGATTATAATCTGTCTTGTCTTGAGTGATTATGAGATGCCAAAATCACTTACGAGTTGAAATACATGTGCTTTTGACGAGTGGTTTCTCTCTAAAAGTGATTCTAAATTGTCCCCTCTTAAGTGATTATAAAAATGCCATAATCTCTTAAGGGTTGAAATACATGTGCTTCTCACAAATAGTTTTCGCTACTAATCACTTCCAAACAGTTGTTTTGAGTAAAGACATATTATCTTCGACTCTTCCTCTTTGAATATAGTTTTTTCGAATCAAATCTTTATTGCAGAATATTAAATTTTATGAAATGAAAATATTTACAAGTGTGGGATTATAAAAAGGGTGGAAGAGTTTTAAGAGATAAGGAAAGTAGGCTTTCCCTTTACCTTACAACGAAATCAACCGCTAATAAAAACCTGCAGCCAAAAGAAAAAAGAAGAAGATATTTAGGGACACTTTGGATGCGGTCCCTAACTATCAATATCCTTTGATTGAAACCTTGTTAGTTTTTAGTTTTTTATTGAGGTCCCTGATATTAATGTAATAATGTAAGTTACTATATTTTTTTAATTAAAAATTAAAAATTGAAATTTGTAATTGTTTATATTAATGAGATTTTAAATAAAACCCATAATTATGGGATTAAAAATAATAAAATATAAATTATTCTCTCTATTATATTGTGTGTGTGTGTGTGTATATACACATATATGTATGGGTATATTAACCAAAATTAACAAAAAAAGTTATTGTACCAAAACATGGATACATTCTCAAATCAACGAAAAAGAATGTACCCATATAAGTTTAAACATGGATTAAAAAATTTGAATGGATTTTATATTAAAAAAGGGTACATTTTACATATAACAAATTGATATATTTGAGAATGGGTACTTTAAGATTTAAAAAACTGAAAAATTATATGAATGGGTACATTTAAGATTAAAAAATTGAGAATCTTTTTATATATAAAAAAAAACTAATAGGTACAAACTTAATTTAATTTAATTTTTTATTATTTTAGAAATGTTTGAATTGAAAATTAATTAGAAGTTTAATAGAGGTGTGAGTATTAAGTTCTAAATTAATTACTAATTTTTATATTAAAAAAATTATATAGTAAACATGTAAATTCATTATCACATTAATGCTAGAGACTTGAATCAAAATTTGAGAACTAATAAGGTGTTAGTCAATTAATAGTAAAAACTAGGGACCGGATACTAATTTTTCCAGATATTTATGAAGTAAGGATCTGCCATCTCATTACGTGGGTCTATTGTCTTCAACTTGAGGGATTAAATTTGATAACCCCCACATAAAGTATAAAGCATAATCATACATCTGATATTTTGAGGTGATTTTTAGATTAGATGATCTATTCTCTTCTTTGCTAATTTTTTTCTTTTTGAACAAATGATATATTTATAGTAGAGAAATGGGCCAAAGTATCACAATAAGTTAACAATAATATGGTTCAAATTCGTTTTTGACGAGAATCAAACTTCAAATCTCTCACTTACAAGTGAAGATGAATAGCATTAAATCGTAATAATAAGTGATTTTCTTTCTGTTAATTAACACGACCAATTAAACGAAGTGATTCAAGATATGTAAAGGAATAAAAAAACGTATCCAACTTGAATGCAAAAGATTGATTACTTGTTGATAAAACTTATATTTCAATTCCTTTAAAAAACGGTCGGATTAGAGGGATAGGTTTCCTTCACATTTAACTTTCTTCTACTTCTCTCAGGTTGAAAAATTCATTCACATCTACCTTCATTACGCATTGAATTCACAAATTAGTCATATTAATCCAATTTTAAACATCAAACGAAACCAGATATTTGATATCATGATTGAGGTAGGTTTTTTTCCGTTCACAAACATAAGATTGAATTTAAGATTATCTTCAAACTATGGCAAGCGGAGGAAAAAAAATCTTGTGACCCTACTCAAGATCATACAAGGGTTGGTGTTAATAAAGCATTAAGATTCAAGTGCCCCTCGTTAAGTTTTAAGCCAGTTCAGGTCTAGGGCAAAAGGTTGCAGAACAGAAGATGATTCTTTCCGGATCTACTTTGTGAGGATCCATGTTCTAGCCGTTCACATCGTGCAACTAATTTTCATCATATACTATTTGTATTTAATTTTAAATAAAAAAATCAAATTATTTTTAACCGCATGATACACGATGAATTGCTAGAATGTAAATATCTCTAAGAACTTGATAATTTGAATTCTGATTGGGATCCAAATCCGCGAACAACAATAGCCAGATTATTAGGTCCGGCCAAAATTCGTGACTGGATCCCCACCCATATTTGGTCCTGTCCCTCATCTGGAGGTTCCATTTGAGTTCCATCAATAGATGGAATCCCAAAAAGTGGTCCTATCCTACATTTATACACAACTTGTTCCTAACCAAATAAAATATTTGTTACAATTGAAGAACAAAGACAAAATTCAAGCTGACACATGGACAGGTCTGCACGTAGGGTATTTTTTTCGTTTACGGGAAGTGATTTTTATAATTTTTTTATTCGATTCGATCGATTCGATAGAATGTTACGTTGATGTTATCCAAAGAGCTTAATTTTTTTTACTGTCTTCTTTATAACGAATATATTTCACTTTTTATGACCCGATAGGATGCCGCAGTTGTACCAAATTGGTATACCGTATACATATTTGTTATAAAATACAACACGTAAAACAAAATGTGTGATGTGTCGTTAATCAAAAGCTACCCTTGTTTTGTAAGTATGAATTACTTTTGGGGAGGTTCTTGTTACAGGCACAAGCAACAGTGGAAAAAGCAAGACACCACCACCCTTATCCTCGAGAACAAGAACAAACAATGCAACAGGAGGAGCAAAAAACGACAAGGAAACTCGACTCGATGAGAGAGATAGACACAATCAGGTATAGACAACCGATTACGGGGCAAATTCTCTCAAAAGTATGATATTTAATTGGTGATGAAACCCTGCAAAATGCATGAATCATAGTGACACATTCTACATGTATTGCGATCACATTTCCCATAGAAAATCAATCAGTCGATTAGTTAGGGTGCCTATGGTTTCATAAGAAACTAGCTAGTCAGCTAGTTCCTTGGCAGTGGGGATTTTACACGAACAAGATAATTCCTGAAGGGCGAATCAAAGATCCTATAGCTTCCGGTCGCACCATCTTTTTGCGCTTGTGCAACTGCCGCATTTTTGGCCTGCACAATCCTCAAATTCAATCCGGCACTTGTACTTTGAGACTCTGGAACCTACATACGTACAGCAATATAGCCTTTCCCCTCAAATCGACTAGTTATGGAAAAACATGGGAAATGTGATTTATGAGGAAAATTTTCTTACTGTTGTTACTTACTGACGTTCCAACTCTGCTCTTGTTCTCGACCGGTGCAGGCACCTTAATCCCACTGTATATTTGAATACACAACACCAGTCAGTCCAATTAAAGAAGTAAACAATTTCTTCCCCACTAGTCTAAAACTTATGAAATCACCCCCCTTTTCTCCCCCATGCACTCCATTGTTTCTTTTCTAGTAGTTGGATTCAATAAACCAAAGGAGAATCAAGACAAAGAATCAACGGAAAGAGCGTAGGAGGAGAAAACGGGAGTGAAAATCACTATCCAATAAATAACTAATGGACATTCATCTCAACACAAAGGGCATTCATCATTTTCATTGCTCAATTATTTGTTAAAAAAAAAAGGCTTGTAGTTATAGAATAAGTATTTTTATTTTTTTAAAATGCAACATTCGAAATTATTTTAACCTAGGAAGAAAATTTGGTAGTGAATGAATTGAGTCAGGCGCATTGCCCATCAACTGACCTAACCCGCAACTGCATTGCTAACTTAAAAGTTAAGTTAGTTAACTAATTAAAGATGTAAAAACGGTTGGTTTTGCCGTTTTGCTGAGGGAGATGGTGCCTCTTTAGTTGTCGCTTCACAAAAAGACATCCAAATTGCAAATAACAGGACGCTACTGCCTACTGCTACACTGGATTGTCATCAACCTCTTGCCTTAATCTCTGAGAAAGATAATATCTTTCCTTCTTACTTTCAACTATTTGACAGCAAAAAATTCTAAATTTTGTATCTTTTCACCGAACCAAAATTATCCGACCAGATTAATTTACACCCACCGCCCCCAGCTAGCTCTATTCAAGAAATAAATGAAGCAATAAAACAACAAAATTTTAAAATACTAAAACATGTGAATTGAATAAATCAGCATGTGGGTTTGATTTGATTACCTGAAAGACGATGGTTCGTCAGCTTTCCTCCTCCTGGGTTGGGCCGCCATTGATGGCCGCTCAGCTTCCAGCCTTCTCTCTGACCAAGGGGTGGTTTGGGAGTGAGGTGATTAAAAAAAAAGCACCCATGAAAAAAAGCTGTGAGGATTTTAGGTGTTTGGTAAACTGAAAAAAAAGGGCTTATTTTGGAAGCTGCTGTGAGAATAAGCTGAAATCAAAGGAAAAAGCCAAAGTTGCTATTTGCAGCTTTGGAAAACTGGCTTTTTTTCAAAGCACACAGAGCTACATTGCTCCTTTAATGAAAAGACCCACTATTAGACTGTTTTTTTTCCCAAAAGCACTTTTACAAAAAAGTTTACCAAACACTCTGCTGATTTATTTCACAGCCGCTTATTCTCACAGCACAGCCGCTTATTCTCACAGCAGCTTTTTTTCAAAGTACAGCAATACCAAACCAGCCCCAAGAACAACGAAGGACTTACGGGTTTAATGAAAGAATCGATTTTCGACCGCATAACTTTGAAGTTATGGGCCTATGGACCGGACCGGGTCTTCTAACAAAAGGAGCTCTGTATTGAATGGGCTGGGTTTTTGTACTTAGTTGTGGGCCCAGACCATGGAACACATCACTCTGTGCAGGTAGTTAAGCTTAGGAATGTCCTTGGGGTGGGGGAAAATTGGGGTTTCTTAGACATGATTAGATTCTCCATATAATGATAACCCCACCCCTAATTCTGCTCCTTAAGCACTAATCACTCTTGAAATTTTGGGATGATGCCGCACACGCTCTGTATATTTGATGTTAAGTATCACTTTTGAGGATTTAGCAATCATTTCTCTCAAGCACCATTGACCTTAGTTGCTATTTCTTTTTCCATAGCATTTAACCTAGCTATCATTAACTTTAACTTGCTATATAGTCTTAACTCTTGAACCGTATGTAGACAGGTCGTGTTTTAGGTCATAAGATATTCTAAGATATAGGACATTATATCTCCGGTTATATAGCAGAATCCTGTAAGGTGCTGCTCTTCAAGTAACTATTGTTGATCAACTACTGCTATGTAGTATTCACAAATGTATCTCGTGAGTTATTTTATCTTGACCACTTCTCGATATGTACTTGTTCTATGACGTGATGACTTATGACATCTACTAGTGTACTGGTTATGCATTTCAATTCTAATACAAATGAAAGGCTTTCTGGCATTTTGCAGGCCAAAAGAATCAGCATTCGTGCTGGTGTGATGAAATAGAGTGCAGTTATTTATTTTTTTAATCTTCTGAACTTTCATCTATGTGATATTTGTAGTCTGGGGTTTTGAAGTGCTGCCCTCAAACCAAATAAAACATCTGTTTTTCCAGCCATTGGGGTTAGCTCAGTGAGGAGCGTGGCTAGGCTAAAAATTCAGTGTTCAAAACCCTCCTTTGTACAAAAAAAATAAAATAAAATAAAAACATCTGTTTAACAACTAAACAAATTAGCATGCAGTCAGTTACTTAGAGAGCATGCAATGGTAATCATCGGATCTTTGTTGAAGAACCTGTACAAGTAAAACCGAGTGTCACTCAAAAAGGTGAAGAAACATGTTTTTGACTTTGTTAATTTCCCATGTTCTGATGGAGGTGATAGTGGCGACCCTTTTGCATTGGTGGGATTTTAATTAATTCAACCAAAATAATATTGATTTGGACGCACTAATATAGTTAATTAGTTCTCCTTAAAAACAGTCCAATCAAATATAAATCTCCCTCCAAAGTCACTGGTGCAAGAAAACTTGACCCCCCATATCGAACCAAATCTATTCTCATCATTCTGCAATTCTTTGTGGATGTACGCCTACATGTTTCGAAAATCAACTTTTTCGGATTTCTGTTTCCATTTTGTCAACCTAAGATAATGTTTTCTTTTCTTAATTAGAGATTATTGAAGTGATTGAGTTGACTAATTACTTTATATTTGACACCAATTCGATTTAGTACACAACAATTATTCAAGGTTATAGTTATTTAATCTATCTGATCAAAGTAAATAATAGCTTGATTATTCATGATTAAGATGTGGAACATTCTCCTAAATAGACAGGTTAATCACAATGCCAATTAAGTTGGACCACCAATACGGTTTGTGGGGTACTAAATCGAGTTAAGTCTCAAGAGCAATCTATACTGATGCGAATAGGGTTTGAAATTAAATGTTGCTCAGTGCACGCCTTCCATTCTTGCATCAATCAAGGAAATTATACAAAACCGAACTCAGTAAAGAGCATATATCTGTGTTTAAAAGAAAGCAGATCATTAACCTTGCTCTTCCTCTGGCCTACCCAGTTTTCCACGTGGCTAGGGCCCCATTTGCCATGTGTATCTCCATATTGCAATATGGCTTTTTAGAACTGGTTAATTATTCTCAACAATATGGCACAATCCTCATGCAGAGACCCTTTTATGAGGTCAAACACAAACAGTATTGTAGAGGGTCCCAAAGAGACTGGAGTTTTTGTTCACTTGTTTCCTCCTTCCAAAATGGACTTTCAGTCTTGACCTTGATTGTTAAAAGCAGTCCAAGTCCAACTTATACGCTGAAATAAGCAGTCTTGCAGGAGTTGTGCTCGGTTTTGCTGATGGAATAAGATATAGATATATTGAGTTGTGTTATCGTCCGTCGTTCATTTTTAACCGTTATATTTGTACACTCGCATCTTATTTACTGTTAGATTACCCTTATGAGCACGTAGACGATTAATCTTTGTAACACTCTTTAATAATTCATTAAAAGGCCATGAGGATTGAGGGGTACGGTTCACATTTTTGAATGAGTAATGCTTAATGTATGCAAGGTCAGCAATGGTTTGGATTTTGGACAAGAATGTCTCACGACCATGTGCACAAATGCCCCCACGTGGAGTTTGGCATGCGTGTGGGTCTCTTCCAAGTGGTTCTGTTTTTTGCATCTTTTGTGTGACAATTTTGGTAAACTACAGCACACTAGGATCCCACAAAATTTCCAAGCATGGAAAGTTCAAACTACATAATTTATGAACTAATTGAAAATATTCATATTTTTTTAAATATATTTAGCTCCTTTTTCAGATGATAAAATAGTCTTCTTCATCTATCTTCTTCTACTTAAAAAAAAAAAGAAAAAAGAAAAAAAGATGGTTGCTATAGAATTTAGATGGATTTTAAATACATGCATATACATAGAGATGGGAGGTGAGCTGTGCGTGTGAGAGAAGTAGCTGGCCCTTACAAAGACCCATCTGCAACTACTTCCTATACATTATATGGTTTTCCTTCTTTCTGTCCCTTTTTCGATTTCTTTGAGAGTGAGATGAGTTACATCCTACATGGGCATGCACTAATGTTTTCCCTTTCTGGCAAACTTATAGTATATGTACAACAAGCTAACATTTGTGCAAAGATTGGCTGCTACTTATAATACTTAATCATGATTTGAAGTATCAGCTGCCAAATCTAGCCAAAACTTACTGCAACGGTGTGTATGTATATGTTTTTGTATATATATTTTTCTCTTCATGTGATGTATAAGAGTTTAAGGTTTACGACAGAAGCACGAATGAGTATACACTCCGTTAATGGTCTCTTCGATCCTACGATATATTACGTTAGGACAGAGGAAAAAATCTAGCTAAATTACACTTACCTGCTTAAACCTTAATGTATTACGTAAGGAAAATATTGGCACAAACCGGTATACACCCCCTTACAGTCTGTTTCCTACCATCTATTCACCCAACCCCAACTTTTTTCTTTATCTCCATGTTATATTTTGGGTTTTTTAAAATGATATAGTTCTTGTTTCTGCTCATTTAGAATTTTTTTGGCGGTGGAAAATGCATGATAATATAAACTAAAAGGTAAACTTACACAGTTTATATTGAAAAGAAAAGATCGGGGGTATGAATACCATGTATGTGGAAAGGAAATGCTTTGCGGTCGCTTATACCTTTTTGGAAATTCAGTGTGATCTTTGGCAGGGCTTTTTGGCAAAAGGAAAGGTCATATTAGTTTATGATATGCAAAAGTGGCAGTTTTGAATGCTTTCTGTGCTCCTTTCCCATATTTGGGGTGTTGCCACGAGTGCCATAGCGTTGATGTTTTTGTCCTCTTTTCTTCTGTGTAATTTTTTCCTTTTTGGTTTCGTTGCCCTTTCGTGATCATGGGATTGAAAATATCACTTTTATTCCTCGTAATGCGATGGTTCTCACATATTGGTTGTTGGGTGGGCGATATGTATATTTGAAATCTTAAAATACATGAAAAAAGTTAATAGTACTACCACAAAATGCTATTGCCATATGCACTTTTCAAAGCCATCCATAAAGAAAAAGTCAATCTAAAAAACTTTCAACAATTATATATGTTATCTTCTGAATGATATATGTCAGAAAAATAATGCAAAAAAAAAAAAAAAACATAATGGACCTATTATACAGTAGTTGGAGGAAGAAAGAGTTCACTTATAAAACAGCATTTTCTTGTAGGATTAAGGAGTTGAACGACAATGAATTTGGCTTATATCCAATGCTTGGTTTTTGAACAAGGCATAAAATCTTAGTCTCTTCATTAGCTTACAGAGAATAAACCCTCAATTAGTCTCATCTTTCACTTTTTAGTGAGTAGGATGTATACACATCTTTCCCGTAATCACTCATCTTATGAGCAATATGTTTGTGATTGATAGTTGTAAGAATAAGACGTATAAATCCATGCAGCTGTGCAACCTAAATTTTCTTGTTCTATAAGATAGCAACAGTAAATATGTTTACAGTAACTTGATGGTTTAGTTATTCGATTGAGCGCTTTTCATTCTATGATGCGAAACTTTGTGATTAAGAAAAGGATAGATTACAGATGTCGTAATTGGCTACTAATAACCTTTGCCTCAAGTGGGAAGTCAAACTGCAAACAAGCTATCAATTAGAATGGCTTGTTTATTTAAACAAGAAGCAGCAGTCTAGCTAAGTATACGTACGTACTGCGCGCTAGGGTTTTTACCAACTCATGCAAAGCAGAGTATTTTAAATTTGATGCTACTGAAACAGTATACTGGTCATGTGCCTCCAC